GCTCGCTAGCAGCCTCATGCCGATGACCTATCCATGTCATCATTTACCCAGAATGCTTTGCATGTAAATAAAATGGCGCCGTCTGTGTACTATATTTTAAAACTTTTAGTTTAAAAATGATAAAAACTAAACAGCCTACAGTATTTTTACAGTCTTTATTTTACAGTTAAAATGTATGTTTATTAAATAAAGTCTAACGATACAACTAATCCTGGATCCCTTTAACAGCTTGTACTTTACCTTTGTTTTGACTCTTAGACTTAGTATGTGTTAGTTTTAGTTACTTGACCCTGTTTAAAAGATGCAAATATGCCAGAGCCGTACGGCAGAGTGACACAGCTKTGTTTCTTACTCGCAGGCATCGGCCACCTCTCCCTGAAGAGGAAGGGGGCTCTGAGTGTTGCGGAGAAYGGTGGATCTCTGAGGCGATCCTGTGAGTTCGGATCTGACATGCTGTGGCCGCCGCCTCTGGAGTCTGAAGGTGGGTCAAGCCTTGGAAGAGAAAACGCCTCTTGAACTCCTCAGAAGTGGACACAGTTTTCAGTCATGAAATGTTTGTTCTGGGTTTTGATTAGAAATTAGTGGTATTTTGACTTTATCGTGATCCAGTAGGACAGCTTTGTGATTCATTTTAGTGCACATGAAAGGARATCGTTTTAGAAACGTTCCAGCTAATTTCTACAAAAAGACAGCCCTGAAACTGTGACTGTATTAAACAGAAGCTTATATATTCCAGACCTCACTGACTCTCGTGCTTGCCAGGGAAGTGACCCAATTACCCATGAAACAAAATGACCATCAAACATGTCTAATTGGCCATGGAGACAACAGAACATGKCACTTGAGCAGCAGCCGCACAGCGATAGAGCTGAACAATGAGTCACCACTGGCTGTTTGTTCCATGTCCATCTGTCATCCTCACTATCCTCCTCTCTGTCGGCCTTCAGAGAACCACTCGACGCCACCGGACGTGACGGGATACTCGTCGGACTCATCCCACTCCCACACCGAGCGTCACCCCATGTCCAACATGGGGACGATCGCCAGGAACACGCAGAAGTACGGCAACGCAGAGCGCATGGAGACGGGTGACGGTGAGAATCAACACCTGCGTGAAGCCCCTTGTCAGAAGGAAAACAAAAACAAAAAGCCCACCCCCCCACTGACAAAAAAAAATAGCAACACTTTTAATCAGGAAGTGAGCTCAGACTGAGCCAGCGCCTTAAAGAGCTTACTAATTACACAGTTTGTGTTGATGCAAGTTCTCTGAATGAACCGGGTCCTTTTTACCCTCTATTGTCTGCTCAAAGCTGACAGAGCACATTTGTTCTTTTTTTAGCYGGCTTCACGTTCACACAGTCACAGTTATAAAGCTGAGAGCTTCAGTTCAGGATGACCACAGTGTTGAGGGTTYGCTCAGCAGCACTCTGCCTCGCTCCTCAAACATTTTGCTTTTTAATACATTTCATTTGTTTATTTTTTAATCTTTAGACGTAATTCTTTTGTTTTTGGGCCAAACTTGCTGTATTTCTTGAGGCTTGTCAGGATTGTTGTACGGATTATCAGTTTGACAATCTATTCAGGCCCTTTCTTTCCACTGGGATTAATTTATTTTTTCCAGGTGTTCCAGTCAGCAGTCGTGTGTCAGCTAAGATCCAGCAGCTTGTTAACACACTGAAGCAGCCCCGCAGACCGCCGCTGCGAGAGTTCTTTGTTGATGACTTCGATGAGCTTCTAGAGGGTCAGAAATTCCCTTTCTGTTTGTGTGATTATTTCTCTGTCCAATCTCAGGATTTAATAATGAAGTTATGTGGATCTAAAGGTCACCTGGCAGAAAGTGAAGCAGCAGAACATATTTTGCAGTCTAGAAACTACTGAATCATGTTTTACATCTTATTGCTTATAATGAAGGGTTTTTAATACTTACGTTGGACTGGCTGCTTAAAACTTACTTCTTCCTATACTATACCATATACTACTATACCACAAAAACTCCATAAGTTACATTAATTTAAGAATTCACTACAGGATGTAATACTTGTCACATGAACGTTAAGTTTAAAACAATGCATAGTTAAATAGCATGAGTGCGATGTTAAAATAAAACGTGAGAAATTTGTAACTTACTGTCATAATCTGCTTATTTGAAATGTATGTTCATTTTTATCTCTTGTGTTTAGTTTCTATATTGTGCTCCGTTTGTTCCACTGCCTTTTTGTGTTTTCAACCATCCTCCTCTTCTTCTTCTTCTGCTTCCTGTGTACTGCCACGCCCTCCTCCACCTGCTCCCTGTTGTCATTAAGTCCAGGTGTCTCCACTCTGCTCATTAGTCTCTGTCCATACAGACACTCAGTACTTACTCCTCTTCAGCCTGGTGTCGTGCCTCATACCTGTCCAGGTTTCCTCATTGCTCCTCAAGTTACATTTTGTTCTGTTTTATTACTGCTATTTCACCTTTTGTTATTTTTGTATCGAGCTTATTATTAAATGTTGTTGTTTTATTTGCGCTCCTTGAGTCAGTCTGCGTCCTTGGTTCTTTCCTTCCACAAACTGCGACACTAGCGTAGTTTGAGTGGCGTGAGCCTCTCAGGAGGACAGTTTGCTGAAGTGGATATTAAGTGACTGGAATTAAAACAGACCATAACGCTGACAGATGAATATGTAGAACAGTTTGATTTTCCGATGCTTCACTTCATTATGGCTGGTTTTTCGTAGAAATAAAATATACGTTTGGTTCGACGGTGGAGGTGGTCCCAATGCTTTGCTTTCAAACCCGTTTGTTTGTTGTGTGTTGCGTTGTGCCTTTGTGCTCCCCTCCTGCTCTGAGCTGCACTTCTRCAGCAAGTGGCCACACACAGACTGCTTCTTCCAAAGTGACAGACTCACCCAGGGTGAAAACAGCTTATCAGAACAAGATGAAGCTGTGCTGTCTACCTAAATGCTGTCAGAGATGCAATTTTTAAAAATAAAGATCTCATTCGCCACTGTAGCAAATTACAGACTAAATGGACTCAACATTGGACGATTAGTTTTTTGGGGTATTTTTGCAAAATGTGATGTGGCAGGTATTGTCAGTATCCCTGACCTAGTAGTCCTGGTGTTCTGGTTTTCTTCACTTCAGCTCAGAATGTTAAAACATTTTCCTGAAGCTGGAGCGATGCAACATACATGAGTGCACCAGGTCTCAGGAAGCTCACTTATAAATGATAATACTTTAAATATTAACACTTCAAAGAGGCTTGTAGCATTCGTTCGTTGCTCATTAGTATTACTTAGCGTGTTTAATGACACTCTTTTTTGTGTGACGTGGTGTGATTTTGTTACTGAAGCTGTTTGTTGTTGTGTGAATGAAATTTGTGAACTCCAAATCTCCCTGACAAAGCTTTTTATTATTATTTTTTTTATTTTAAGCTTGTGACAGTGTGTAATTTAGGTGTTTTTATGGTGTCTATTAGAAATGTTATTTGCAGTTTTGTACTTGGTTTTGTTTGTAAAAAAAAAGTGAAGTACGAAGTGGATGATTTTATGGCTAAACAGTTGAATCGTTGCACAGAAGAGCAGCTTTTGATCATTTCTACCCATTTTTCATCCCTTTGTTTACATAGATCACAGCATAGATAATATAGAAACAAAAAGTTTGGAATGTGGCTTTACTTTATGTTCTTGCTCAAGACGTGTTTGAGAAGCAGACCCTGATGTTGTAACGCAGTTCTCCGTTTCGTGCTTTGCAAAGACGTGTAGGTGGAACATAGTTGGTAAAATCAAACCCTTCTGTGCTTATTGTAAAAAAAAAGTGCAGTCATGTTATTGCCACCTGTTTTCTGTTTACCTAAAAAAGGTACATCTTCTAAAGCAATCGCATTGGTTTTATACTTTACATATGTTTGTCCTTTGCCTGGTTCGAGGCTTCTCCCTCTTGTTTTGTCCAGGGGGGTCACAACTGTGTCTGGGTCTGTCTGTGATGAAAATGCTGCTCAGAAATGATATTTTCATATAAACGTGAATGTTTTTAGGATGAACTTTTACAGCAGGACACCATCGTCCTTTTTGTCCTGTTTATTGTTGGACAACCCAGACCTGAATGTGATGATCCTTGTGCTTTATTTAGAGCACAGATATATTCCTGTTTTCAGTGGGTTTTAAAGGATGATGAGCTATACGTTTTTGCATTCCTAAGCACAAAGATGCACTGCTCTGTTTGCTCAGCTTTCACCATCTGTGTTTTCTTTCAGTCCTTCTCCTGTTCATTTCCTGTCAGCAGTTTTTAGCATCTCTTTTAGAAGCCCGTTTGCATGAGGAAAATGAGAACTTGGTTTTGTTTTTATACAATGAACAATAATGTAAATGTCTGTAGTTGGATCAGTAAATTTAGTGGCGATCACATATTTCTCTTCAACTATTGTTTTCATTGTTGTCTAATGTATCACAAATCAGATTTTCAGTCTTTAAAACTGCCCGTTAATAACAAGCACAGCTAATGCTGTAAGGTGTCAAAGTGAACCGGCAGCTTCCTGGCAGCTGCTTCACTTTGTTACTTTGGTTTAATGTTATTTTTTTTTTTTACGTTTCACATTTAAACACTGCATCAAACGAAGCAGAAACAGATAAGCTGTCCGCTCACAGGATCACCTGTTTCCTCGTCTCCAGTCCAGCAACCAGACCCCAACCAGCCTCGGCCAGAGGGAGCGGAGATGATGCTGGTGCGGGGAGAGGCGCTGGGGGTGGTCACAAACTGGCCGCCCTCCCTGGAGGCTGCGCTCCAACGCTGGGGGACCATCTCACCAAAAGCCCCCTGCCTCACCAGCCTGGACACAGCAGGGAAGCCCCTCTACGTGCTCACATACGGTAACCAGACACTCAGACTTTCTCTTGGGATATTTTAGAAGCTGTAACAGATTTATCATTGCAACACACACAGGAGAGACTTAAAGGGGACATGTCATGCATGATCCACTTTTTTAGCCAGTAAATACAATTTGTTGTGTACTTGGAGTATCTAGGAGACAGAACATTTGAATTCCGACTCCCTGTGCTGTTTAGATATCTTTATATTCTGTTTGTCATTTTTTAAGCCCGTTCAGTTTCCTCTTATTTCTATGACATTTTATGAATTATTACGTCAGAGTATTTGCGACAGAACTGCCAAATAAGGTCTGGACTTATTTTGTTGTCTTCATTTTCCTCTGGCTCTGGGTCAGACTCTGGTTCCATCATGTGAAGCTGGATGGACAAGTCTTCCCTTGTTGACATTTTTTAATTAAACTGTAAATAAGAAGGTTCTGTGATATAGTCGTAAACCCTTCTATCAAACTAGAAAGGACTGCTCTGAAAGCTGGAGGGGGTGGGGTTTGAAGTGTCTCATTTAAATATAAAGACAAGTTGATCTGAGACACACCTCAGAAAAGAGGGGCTTGTGGAGTTACAGTAAGGAGGAATTCATGCCAAATATTGCACTTCCACTTTATATAGACCCTAACTGAAAAAGCAGACTTCACATATTTAAAATCGTCTTTTAGACTCATATAACTAAAGTATTAATCAGGTTTAGTTTTACTGACTCCTCATATAGTATCACTCTAATTATTACCCAAATTCACATACATTTATTACCGATTAAAACATCAAGCTGTTGGGAAAAGAGCTAACTTCACATGCAATCAAATTCATTGAGCAGAACATTTAATATGTTTAGTATTTAGCCACTTATCACCACAGTTTACTGTTTAAGCTATAAATTGTAAAGGATGATTTTCTTTTATTATTTTTATTCCAAGCACTCATAAACAAAGCACAATATTTTTTTCCTGTTTTATGATTTGACCCTAAAAGTTACAAATGTGTATGCTCCTCACAGAAACTCAGTTGAGTCAAATAGTCACATTTAGTCACAATGTGCAGGAACTTTTTACTATGTTGCTAATTAACAAATAACTTGAAAAAACTAGACTAATTTATCAAAAAGAAAAAATAACTTGGTCTTATTTGCTTCTCTTTGTTATTGTTTGAAAAAATGCACCAACTACAAATGTTTCAATATTTCAACCTCACAAGTTGGTGTCGTGTTCAGAAGAATTTATGGAACACAGATTCACAGGAAAATTATATCAAACATTATAGTAGTGAAAAGATTAGCAAAATGCTAATTCAATTTGTAATATTTTTATAAGGTCATTGTGTTAATAAGTTTTTTTTCCTAGGGGTTTTTTTGCCTCTTGGAAACAGTGTGTTTTCAATAGAGGAGCAGGAATGTGCCTCTCCTCTTTTTCGTCGCCTTCTTTTTACAACAGCCCAATAAACACATCATGCTTTTTGAATCATTCTTTGAATTCCCTTGTAATTCGCTGGTGATTTCTTCTGAAATGTCATCCGTTGAAACACTTTTTTGACTTTCTACACAAAAGAGAAAAGGAAACCGACTCAGAGACTCAAACTCAGTGAACTCCTTCTACCTGTTGTTCTGTGTTCGGCTCCCTGCAGGGAAGCTCTGGTCTCGCAGCATCAAGCTTGCCTACAACATCCTCCACAAACTGGGCAGCAAGCAGGAGCCGATGGTGCGACCAGGCGATCGGGTGAGTCACGCTCTCCCACCATCAGCTCTACACACTTTGGACTTTTGTTCCTGCTCATTTTACTGATCTGTTCTGCCAAATTTACTGTAATGAATCAGCAGGGCTTCATTTATCTGATTTGATCTAAGATATATGTTGTTTTTAGCAAACTGACGAAAGCTTATTGGAAAAAAGTGTCGGCCATTAAAATATAGAACTTTAACTTGTAGTTTGTTTGTCAGCTTTAGCCACGAAGGATCTCTAAAAACATTAATGTTTCTAAAACGACCTGCTTAAATCTCTTTCTCCCGTAGGTGGCGCTGGTGTTTCCCAACAATGACCCCGTGGCCTTCATGGTGGCCTTTTACGGCTGTCTGCTTGCTGAGGTGGTTCCTGTTCCTATAGAGGTTCCTTTAAGTCGCAAAGTAAGTCATGAAATAAAAATAAATCTAGAGCAGGACAACAACTCAAACACTTAACATTATACAATATGATGATAGACTTTTTTTAAACTTTTAAATCCTTTTTCACATTTAAATCATTCAACTGGGGTCTGTTTTAAGTGGAACTGCAATGCTTTGGTCGGATTTCTTACTTACTGTAACTCCACAAGCCCCCCCCCCCCCCTTTTTTTTTCTGAGGCCATTTGATTTGTTATTGATCCACCCTGCTTTGATCATATTAGTATTTTCTCTCCAGACTGCTGCTGTGTTTTATTTTTTATTTATTTTTTTATTCATTCATAAAACAAACAAAAGAAAATCTATTTAAAATAAAAAAAAGAATGAAATGAAAGGAAACAGAGAGAAGAAAAAAATTGAATTAAATCTTCCCCCTTTTTCCCCCAAAATTTAATTCAAACAAAAATCAATATCAGGCCCTTCCTGAACAACAGTTTATGTCAACAAACACATAATATATATTGTATTTTTTTTAACAAACTAACCTTTACCATTCTCTTAATTAAACAAATTTTCCAGCAGTTTTAACATCAGATTATTCCACAGTCGTATTTTTTGAATTGGTTCTTCTTTCCTTTAAACTGGTCCGTAATTGTAACTTTAAAAAAATATAAATAAAAATATAGCAGATCTGTCTCTTAACAAATTTGGATTGGATGTTTTTGTGAGCCTATATGACCTGTAAAATATTGTAATCAACTAAATCATAAAATTTGAATAATTTCAAATGATAAAATGATGTGTTTGTTGGGTGACTGTAGTGTTTTCTAGTAATGATTCTTACACTCTTTTTTGCCAAATAAAACCTGGATGTTCAGTCTTGTTTGTGTGGACACCTTATGTTCAGCAGTATGTTTTTGCAGGACAGGAGGGTTTTGGAGAAGGTAGTCTTGTTTGAACAGGAAGCAGAAAACATTACTTGAAGAAGCAACAATCTGGTCTGCTGTCACAGACCTTACAGAAGACTGTGAGGTTGTCAATCAGGATACAGCTGTTCAAGTTTTTCCCTTTGTCTGCAGGGACTAAAAATCTCTGCAGTCTGATTTCTTTACTTTAAAAAGAAGTTTTTAGCTGTAAATGCATGTTCCAGCCTGCGCTTGTATTGAGTTTACTCAGTTCATTCTGCTTTAATCTCTGCTGTCTGTGTGTTAACAGTGAGGCAGCGTCTTTGCAGCACTTTGTGCAGCGCAGCGTTGGCATGGTTACACAGAGTGATTACTTGCTGCAGTAGAAATGTCTTCTGCTGTCCACCTCACTCGAACCCCTTCCCCCAGCCTGCACTGGTGCTGCAGGATTTTTCTATCCTTGTATCAGGGCGRCGCAGTGGTTAGAGCTGGTGTCTCACAAAGAGAAGCTGGCAGGATGGCTTCCTGGTGAAAGTGGGACCTGTCCCTGGTGCATTTCACCTTTTGTGTAGTGACTGCTGGAGATAGGCCTGAGCTCCTCTAAGACTCAAGAAGGAAAAGCATGTAAAGAAAATGGATGATGGTTTTATGTCATTGCAGCATTTTTTTATATTTTTATTCATATATCTCAATGAATCAAAACCAGGATCTGAACAGAGAAGCTTTCCTTTAAAGGGGCAATATTATGTGTTTCTCAGGCATACATTTAAATACTATACCATAATAAAGTATGTGTCACCTTTAGCTGTTATTAAAATGCTGTTTTTATGTTTAAATAGAAAATAAACTTATCTCCTCATCACTTCCTCTTCTAAACGCCTTGAAATTGGCCTCTGTCTCTTTAAGAACCACCTTCTTCTGCTTCTGTCCCATCCCGTTCGGTGAAGTGGGGGGTGGGGGTGGGGGGGTTGTGTGTGTGCTATGGTGCAGTTTACTTGGCATCTGGCAATACATTTCCTCAAAGGTATTTTTAATCTGAAAACGGCTTCACTGAGTGAGAACTAATGCTGAGAGCTCAGAAGCTAGGTTTCACTTTCACTTTGACCCGAGAGCCTGAAGGAGTCATGGGCGGGGTGTGTGGGGAGGGTGTGCGCTCTGCCATGAGGAAGTTCGGCTTAAAGACACGTCGCAGGGGCGTTTCTGGTACCAAAAGGTGTTTCTGGTCCCCACCTGTCGTTTTGCTCCTCAGCATGGCTTCATAAAAACACTGCAGGATTTCTCAAACATGACGTTTTTTATGAGAGTATAACATTATAACCTGACTGTATTTTCTGGGTTCCCTCACTTCTTGTATCGTCCAATAGGATGCAGGCAGCCAGCAGATTGGATTCCTGTTGGGTAGCTGTGGCGTTACCGTGGCCCTGACCAGCGATGCCTGCCATAAGGG